GGTCTTTTTGACTGCACATTGACCTTATATGGTCTTTTTGACTGCACATTGACCTTATATGGTCTTTTTGACTGCTCATTGACCTTATATGGTCTTTTTGACTATCCAAGATGTTCTACTTACCATTAGTCCATCAAACAGCAGTAAAATAAGTGACGTAAGCACTGTGACGACAATGACACGTGGTTTTTGATCCTCACCAAATACTCGTAACCATGGAGACTTACCATTGAGGTACAGGGCAACGATATGATGGTTATAGCCTGAAATACAGGAGAGAACAATAAGCGACATTAAAAATTGTACTTTTTCAATTGCATGTGATTCAGACAGTTGTACATTACCTGCATTGGTGATCGTTTGACTGCCATATACAGAAAGATCTTGCTTGTCCATCTCTTCTTTCATTTTCTTAAGTTTTCTTGTGAAGCTCAGCCAAAGAAGACCAAAAATAACCGGTAACTGAAACCAAAACGACATAACATCTCATKACGGACACGAATTCCTCTTCATATAGAAATAACTGAAAATAACTCTCTTTACATCGGACACTCGCTATTACGGACACTTAATAACGATCCCGATGGTGGCCGTTATAATGAGAGTTGAGTCATATAGGAAAAGACTTCCAAACAAGATGATGTGACACAAACTAATGACTTACATGTGCAAGTGCCACAATCCAGTACGCCCATCTCACGTGACTTTCACGATGTACCGATTCTTGAGTATAAAATACACTGGATGTGTTGTCGAGTTCTGTCGTWGAGTTAGCGTACGGCCATTCATCGACAATAGTAGTGTAATTGATCATGTATTCACATTTCTCTCTGAGGAATGGTCTTGCTACTAATGGCGAGATAAAACCRCCAATACCGTAGCAGAAATGAAGAGCCTTGGGTACGTAAAACATTTTGTGTTAAAACCAAACGCTTTTTTTTATACAAGTAATTCAGATTTTTCTTAAATACTTACTTGTAAGTAGGGTGAAACCTGCCCAGTAAAAAGAAATATTAAAGTTATAATAAAACATAACTTTTCTGACAYTAAGGAAGGGTACAAATTGCATAATGACGTCATTATCTGAGGTTACGTCATTCGTAATTCATGCGAGATTACGTCATAAATGACGCAATTCATGCGTCATGACGTAACTTTGTAAAAATATTKGATTAAAGTGTAARTTCTYCTTACCTTTTTACCGTATGTTCGTAAAAGATGAAAGGTTGTGAATGTGTCCGTCGCGCCAAAACATGCGCCATAGAAACCAGCCAGGAATAACATAGCAACAAATACACTGCACATGGGAATAAGTATAATGCATACTGCACTAATACCAAGAGCAATGGTCACTAAMACATGAGTATTGAACCTAAAACAACAACAAAAAATTGGGAATTCAGTTTACTGTTTCTCAGTCTGTACGACAGAGCAGCTGAAAAATCTGGAAGCTTTAAGTCATAAAATTATAATTGTTTCACATTCAACATTGTCCACATTTGAGTTTTGTGGCTATGATATGACAATCAGTAGATAAAGGGACTAAGACTATTAGTGAGAAGCAAATCAATGTTTGCCACTGTCTTAATAATGGAGTGTTTCGACATTGGCAGCTTGAACAACCATGACATTACGTCATTGGCACCAAATATTTTATCTGCTTTTTTTTCTTGCTTGACAATTTCTTTTTTAGTTTCGAAAGGGATATCAAACAATCTATGGTTGAATACGTTAACATGCATCTAAAGTAACATATAGTCCTGTATTAAAAAAAAAAAAATTTCAGCGCACGCGCAATGACTTATCGTATGCTATTTGGTTTTGTATTTATTTTACGAATTTTTAATACCTCTTTCTTGATGCATTCTCCTATTTATCATTTTAACAAGATTACATATATCTTATTTCCGTCTATGGCCACCAACAAAGCAAGGTGAAGGGTTTCTATATTTTTATCCAAAACTAATAAAAGACGACATTGATGGGCATCAAAAGCAATCSAAGSYCCTTTCAAACAAACTTCATTTGAAACAATTCAAAAACCAATATTTTTGTAACTATTGGAWACAGTGGTTTATGAGCTCGTAATGTATTGTTCGGCTTTTGTTTGTTTCTCAGCACGACCCTATCACTCGTTATAGATTGATTTAAGGATTTCTTACTTCTTTTTCGTTACATAGATATTATGTTTGCCTTAGCACTGAATTTTTCCTTTGTGACGATAATTAAACGTWCAAATATAAAAAGAATGTCCGCGCGATGAATTTCGAGGTTTGTAGCCGAACCCAACTTACCCAAAACTTATTTATAATTAATAAAAGCAAAAAATTAATACAATTGTATGTGGGAATCGYCAAGCAAGGAAGCACACCATCTATTGTTCACACTACAGTTAAGTGCTGGGGAATAAAACTATATGACGTATTTTAAGGTTAACGCGTCTTAACGAGGYATAGCTTGTGTTCTCTAAGTTCTATATGAGTCTATGAGTCATAAAATGAGTTTGCCTATCTTATAATCGTTATATTGGAAACTCTTAATTGATATTTCACCTTGATCTCTTCACCTAAAAATACTGCCATGACCATACCTACRCACTTTAGACACTTGTAAAATAAAGCTCAATTAATACACAGATATTAGGCAAGGACAGTGTTTTGATACACCTTTTTTTACTTGTATATAAGCTGAAATTCTTGGATACTAAATGGTWAGTAATCGTAAAACCTCATCAAACAAGAGATCATTAATTCAAAAAATCTTCTCATTTTGTCTTGCATTTATTTATTAAAATCGTCTTACTATGCCAATCGGATTCAATTTTTAATGAACTATTCGATATTTTCAACATCCACGCATAGTTTAAAATAGAAACAAATATTAAAACATGTTTTTTTCAATATTCAAGTTGGTATTTTCGTCTCAAATGTTGACGCTAATGTCAATTGTATCTATTGAGGAAGATTAACAATTTAACATAAAAAAGTATTTTTTATAACTTTCTTACCTGTCCGCGAGAAATCCTCCAGACGTCGAACCCAAAACGTTACATAGATCATGTACAAAGAACACTAAACTCATAATTGTCAAAGTTTGTCCTGTCAAGCATCGTAATTCAAGTAATGTAGGACCCAATACTTCATCCGACATCCCAAATACCGTAAAAACCCCACAAAAGCATAATGTCTGCTTAAATGTTTCCTTATCTCCAATAAATTCTTTAATCCTCTGMTGAAATGAGACTTCTCGCTCAAACGTTTTGCTCTCTACTTCTTCGTGATCAAAAAGAGGTTCTTCTTCRTCGTCGGAGATATTTTCAAGTGTRACAGGCATATTTTTGATTCCCTTGTAGAAAAAMGCACYAGGATTCTTGTAAAGTTAGTTCTAGAAGCTTGCCAAACAATGCATCTCTGATCTAATTTTCTTTCTGCCTTCGGTTATTCAATAAGAGTCGACAAAAAGATTTAACTCCTGTGAGCTCACTGTGTACACAAAAAACGCACGATACCAAGAATTATAGAATCWTTTTTTAACCGAAACCACTTTAAACTCTCAAGACAGATTCCTTTGTAGCCAACTGGACGCGCTTCTGTTGTGGTTTAATTTCATTGCTTGTGAACGAGTGTTGAGGAGTTTTGGGTGATTTTTTTTCTACATCTGTAGTTATTACCGTTATCACCTGCGTAATTTTTACTCCAATTCAMCGAACTATCGCTCGGATTGGTCGTCGGGCGGCCTTATACATAAGTAATWTGTATACACGATGGATAGATAAAGTGTGGGTTGTATCAAGCTCCATGCAAAACTAAAGCTTTTGCTTTAAGAAATCTATAGCGTCATGTTTGGTGCTTTTTTATTGATAAGATATTAAAATACAAACTTGTTATAGGAGTAAAACAATGTCAAATCAGTTTGTACTGATTGGAATTCCTGTGTTAACATGGCTGATTCGCTTCATAGTTCTTCCTCGTACCGTTAAAACAGGAAGCCCAGCACTAACACATAAGCAATAAACAACACATTTTTAGGCGTTTCTGGTGAAATAAACCACGCGGGATGTTGGAAGAAGACGAAAAAGGCGTAAAAAAATATCGAGCTTTTAATTTCAGAGAACTTTTCAGCCTTTTGAGTGTTTTCCCAATATCGCATTTGGTTTATTTCACCAGAAACGCACGAAAATGTGTTGTTTACTGCTTTTATATTGGCGTACTTTTTAGTATTAATGAATTACTGTCACAAGTAAT